AGCCGTGGAGCTCGAGGTCGGCATGTGCGGGTGGGCCTGCGGGTGGAAGCTATCGACGTTCTGGTGATGACGCGCTGACGAGGCCGAGGCCGAGCCGGTGCTGCTGCTGCTGCTGCTGCTGCTGCTGCTGTCCGTGGTGCCGCCGAGGTTCCGCGATGGCGCGGTGGCCGGCGTTGGGGCGGGCCCGCTGCAGCGAGGGCCAGCCGAGGAAGCTGCGGGCCCAGTAGCGCTTGCGGGCCTCATGGCTCGCGAGAAACTCGTGGTAGTAGATGGGCCGGTACGTCTTGTTGACGCGGTACGTGCCTTTGGCGCCGCGATAGTCGGCGAGGCCGCTCGACACGGAGAGGCCGGCGCCCGACAGGATGACGGTCGTCGGCGACCGTCCATCGGCGACCGGCGCCGTCAGGAAGCGCGTGAGGGCGGCGACGGCGCCGGGGAGGGTGTTTGCGTTGCGGGGGATCAGGGTCGGCGGCGCAAAGAGCTCGGTGTAGGGTATGCGCATGAGAGGCTTGCCCATGGGGGACGTCATGCCTTTGGACTCGCGTCGGAGGCGTGTCGGCGTCGTGTCGGACTGTCGTGTCGGGCGGCTATGTTGCTACAATGCTACTTGTGTGTCGCCGTGCACTTGTCAACTTTGAACGCGCGTTCTTGCATGCGGCCTCGTGGTTGTCCAGGTCAGCCTCGTCCTTCTTTTTAGCATTGTCGAACGTGAGGCTCAGCCGGCGGTGCATGTAGCGTCATCGTCATGGATCGGTGCTTTTTCGAGTGCCACTGGGTCTGTGGCGCTGTGGCTGGCCAGGTGGGGCTATAGCTTGCCTACCCCAGGTTGGCTCAATATAGGCTTGACGCTTGAGACGGTGACGCTTGAGACGGAGACAAATGCATCTAGGTACGTTATGGCAAGAATTATACGCGAGGTGCAATAACAGTACGGATTTCTCCTATCCATCCATATGACACATTCGGATTCCAATGTGCAGACAAGCAACCGCATTAAGCTCTGCAGGGAAACACAGCCTGACGGACTCCTCTTCGCATGATGTTCCTCTAGTCCTGAAATGATTTGCTCCCAGTCAGGCATCTTGCCATGGCCTTTTGGTCTTCATTCTTGCGTACAACAGACTTTTCTGCCTAAATCGGATGGTAAATTAAATGGTGGGTTTCTTGTAGGTGCCATTGAACTCCTTTTCAACGCTTTCCTACAAACCTCCAGGCTCAGGAAGAATACGGCTGTGGGAATATCCAACGCACAGTGAAAGGCCCAGTACCTCGAATGCGCTCCAGTACCGCTCGAGTCGAAGCCAAGGTACGTGGGTGGTGGTGGTCAAGGTACCTAATACACCTGACGTGTGCGTCAAGGCAGCAGTAAAGGGGCTCGAGTGAACATATTTCGGCCGGACAGCTGTCAGCAGCGCCAACTACTGTATCATCGTCCTTACCATCAGGCTTCGGAACAAAAACAGCAATGCGCGGGATGCATCTATTCTGGGTAGAGGGCGCTCAGCAAACCCCCCATCGCAGGAGCAGGCTGTGGCGCCGGGGCTTGCCAGATCGGATCGCCCCCACCGCCCACATCCCGTGGCGCCCGGAACGAAGCCCAGCAGCGATGGCAAAGAGGGTGGCTCTGCTGCGTACCTCTGACGGCGACGACGGCAGTCAATATGGGGTGGGCAGGCGTCTGTGACGGGGCCGCGAATCTCTCTGTTTGAGTCAGGGGGGGGGGCGGGCTGAAGGCTCTGTGCAGTCGTCGGGGCCGCCATTGCGCTGATCTGGGTGCATTGAATCCAGTGTCACTGGAATGGCAAGATCCTTGGAGATTGGGTGCGAGGGGAGAAGCTGACGCAGCATGTGGAGTTGTGTGGCTCGTGCTCGTGCGGCTCGCAGCAGCCAGAAAAGTACCTTTTCTTCCTGGTCGATGGCAGGGCAGAGGGCGGGGCGTGTGCCAAAAATGGGCTGATGACGGGGGCAGAACAGGGGGACACACGAAAGCCCGAAGGGACCGCCTGAGGGGTGCTGAGGGGTGCTGGGAGCTGT